CTTGCCTAGCCATTCCCCTGGAATATTTCTCATGCTCTGGTATCTTGAACCAAGTTTTAGTAGCTGTTGGAAAGGAGTAAGATGCACTGTCTGGCCAGAGATCTGCATACTATATTTTAGTAGAAATTGAGTTTTAGCACACTATACGAGCAGATGACAAGAGATTTACAGTGGAAGGGTGTGCAGCTGCAGCAGGGCCAGCCTTGCCAGCCTCCTGCTGTTAATTCCCAGCCAAGAGCTCTCTGGAGTCACTCAAAGCTTTTGGGGTCAATTCAGACAGCATTTCACTTCTATACAGTCAGTCTTCAAGCACCATCAGCTTTTGGGATCTGTTTAGAAACTAGCTCCCCTCTCTTGCTCCCTTCCAACATACTTCAGCTTTTTTACCAGAATGCTCACCTTGGAAGTCAGTGCTGCTCTGTTTTTCTTACCCAACTGTATTTTCACATAGGACAGAAGATACAACCTTTGGATATAAGCCAAGAGCTACGCTGTGATACAGTTCATCAAGCCAGGCACAGAACCACTAGCACTGACAATCTAGTACCTCCACACTCCCCACCCAGTAAGAAAACAAGCATATCAACACAGATAAACTTCAACACTGCTTTCAAAATGCCATTAGAAAGATAAAAAGGTCAAGAATCAAGCTAAACTGCCCAACTACCAAGATGAGCAAAAAGACAGCATCACCTGGTTAGCAGAGTAGCAGCTTCAGCTCCAAATATCCTGCCTTTATTCATTTCCATCTATGTAGAAAAAGATTAGTGTTAAAACAAAGAAGTGCCCACTTCACAGCACAAAGCAGAGATCACCCCAGCTACTTACAAAACAGGTAATACTAAAAAGCACTAGGTCTTGTATTGTCTTGCCAATTACTTTCTCACTAGGCTAGACAGTCCTCATCTAGAAGTGTGTGGAGTCAATATTAACTCAGGCCAAGTCTGGCTCAGCCCATGCCAGTTTTCCTGATCCATAATGGATGCTCCCTAGAAATCTGTTCCAAAAAAATCATTTGCAGAAGTAGGCACAGATGTTTTAGAGTTGCTACTGAAACACCCTCCCCACCACTTTGTGTGTTAAAGAGTGTACTGAGGTAAGGAGTTGGCAGTGCTCTGTCAAAAGCCCTGACTACACCATGTGATTTTATACTAGGAAAACAATATAGGAAAGAGGCTACTACTAAACTTACAGGAATCAACATAGTCCTCATCACAAGAGATGGGTATTTGGCTTACAGGACAAGCTGCACTCTCTGGAGGTGCTACTGCATGTCATGCTTGAGTCTCAAGCTGGCAAGCATGACATGGTCTAACCACCCCATGAGTACTCCTGACAACGTGGTGACAAAAGCAAATGTGAGTCAGGTGTCAATACTCACTGCCTGAACATCAGAGGGGCCTTTCACAGGACTCTGGAGTTCCATGCAGCAGAAGGATTCTTTTTTTCAGAAGAACAAAAGAGGAACATACATAAAAAAGACTCCAAAACATGAAGTCGATATTCACAAAGACACCCACCTAAAGGCAGCAAAGGGCTTTTTTTTGTTTTCCTAAAACAGTATCATTCTATGGAAGGTAGCTGACTGTCACTAAAGAAAGCTGCTAGTTTTTTCAGTGTTTTCATTGTTTAATTTCTTTAATTCTACAATTCTTTGTAGATCATGGCAACCTGGTGAATACCCAGAAGGATGGAGACATGGGGATGGGGGGATGACACACTGACAGGAGGGGACATGCTTTTCAAATGCACCATTTTTCATACCAAAAACTACTTTAGCTATCCTCGTGGAATGACATTTTCCTCTGCAGTGCCACATATCCATGAGCTCTTCTGACTCCATTTCACTACAGGATTTTTTTCACTTAGTTTCTCCACTGTCTGTGGAGAACAGATCTTGTAGTAGTATCTTATACTACACAGCAGTATTTCAGAAAACTGAATACAGTTATTAAGTCATAATCTATGCTGTCATATTAAATAAGATCAATTCTTTATATCAAGCTTGAAGCATCTTTGAATTGTAGTGCAGAGTGGTCAGTAATTTCCGTTCCATAACTGATACTAATTTTCAGCATGAAGAACTCTTTAATTCCTTCAAAGTGACAACTGCCTATTGAATATGTCACTTCCAGAAAACTGTTCTTCCTTTCTCATTCCAGCTCACCACATCACCTTGTAATGCCATTTAAGAACTGTTCAGAGGATGACAGCACTGCAATCAGGAGGAGTGGCACTGACTGATAGGCTGTATTAGGTAAGAGCCTGTTTTGAGGACAACAAATACAAAGCAATGTTTGATAAATGACTCCTGTTTAGGTAGCTTTTCTACTTAAACTGGAAGATTACATAAGTGTCTCCTGCAAGCACTTCCTCTCTTTGTCCTTGTGAGACAAACTATCACTCATTGACCTGTGGGTGTCAGAGGAGGGACAGCAAAAAGCTTTTTTTTTTTTAAATGTAGTTGTTCAAGGTCTCCATCTGATGATCATCCTGCCTGTGACCCATTTCCTGACTAGCCAAATGAACAATAAGCCTAAAAGGTTAACAAAAAAAAAAATGTTCTCTCCAGCTGTGTTTACCTGCAAAGTTCTCCAGGATGTCACTTAAAATAAAGTCCTCTATTTGTTTCTTGTGATAGGACTAAGCAACCAACCAAGTCAGGCCCGAGATGTTTGTACAACCTAATCCACCTTAGTTTCTCTTCAGTAATTAACTGATTTACCATAACATGATTTTCTGGCTTTATTATACTACAACTTACCTTGAAAAAAACCCACACACAAACACAAAAGCCCTCAGTTGTGGCAAGAAACGGATTGTTTTGTAGAGAAAGCTGCCACTTAAAAAAAAAAAGTCCTTTTAACTCATGGGCCAGATTCTTTGCAACCTTGAAAAGTGTTTGAGTTTTGCAAGAAGAGTTTCCAGATCTTGGGTTCCTAGTGTGAACCATTGCTGCTGAAGGCTGACAGAACACAGAGCCTACAGAGCCAAACTACTGATTTTTAACCTCAGTCTACAGCATCACGCTCAGGCCCATTTTATCAATAAAAAGAAGAAAGGCAATAATAGGCCTGAGGTGATCAAACTGGTTCCCTAAAACTGATTTAGTGTGCAAAACTGCCACATCATACAAAAAAAAAAAAACCTTGAGAGCTCAGTCTGAAATCTTATGCTGTTTCTTTTCCAGGTGCAGATTAAGTTAGTTAAAATATAAGTTGCATTATTAGCTCTGTTCAGAGTTTTAAATCCATAAGGTGACTAAGGATACAGAACAGTGGATGAGCATGAAGAGAAAAACAGAAGAGGAAATTCCATGCTATGCCTCCCAGGTAAAGCTACAGTAGATTCAGACATAAAACTGAGGTAATTCTTGAGAAAAACACACAGTTGAAAGGGAATGTTTTAACTCATTTGAGCAAACAATGATAATATTAACCCATCTAGAAAATTTAGTGAAAGAGTAAAGCTCATAGCAAACCAGGAAATAAAGCCAAGTCAACCTAGAAGTCAGGTCAGCCCACAACTGCCTCCTCTTCCCCAGTGTCTCGTGTGAAGTGGAAACCATGACCAAGAACTCCAAGAATATTTGAAAGCTTTGAAAAACAGCCTTAGCCTTCAGCCAAACAAACGGGTTGGCTTAGAAAAATGAAGATTATATGATAGGCCTTGCTTGCATCACTCTGTGTTGAAACATTTACCCCTTCAAATGAAAGAATGTGAAGAGTTTCCCCTCCACACGAATATTAGAGTCACATAACATTTTTCCCCCTTCAAGGTTAACAATGAATAAATATTTAAGAGACAGAGTTGGTCCTGGAAAAAATAAGACTTGTAACAAGGAAGCTAATTCCTGTTTCAGTTTGCTCAAATTTAAGTTAGCTAGATTTTCCCATCTGCAACTTTTCAGTTGCTTCTTACCTCAATACCACGTGTGTTACACCGCACCGAGCAGCCACATCTTCCCCACTCTGAAGCCTGCACAAAGAAAGCCAAGAGACTGCTACAGTAGGAAATGACACAAAAATACTGATGTGAACATCTGCAAGCTTCAGAGGGGAAGAGAGATTCCAGATTTTATCCAAGTTAACATGAAAGGACAAGAGAACAGGGCTTTTTTGACCACATTTCCCATGGGATTACCAGCTGAAGTAAAATGTTGCTTGCTTTGACATGCTGTCACAGGCTCAAAGGGGTAAGAACTGCAGGGAATCTGCTGACATTTTATGGGTACAAACAGCCCTTCAGGTTTTATTCTTGGATAAAAAAATTATGACAAAAATGGCACAGTAAACTATGTCTGAAAATTACCTAACAGCTAGTGCTACCGTGCTGATAGCAAAGGCAGATCTTCAGGTTGTCCATGGACTCCACTGCAGTAAAAAAGCTCTGATATGTCTGTACACAAAAAAGGCACCCCACAGTTAGTTACACAGATTGAGAGGGAAGGAGTTAACGGTTCGTATCCACATTATTCAGAGCTTCTTGCAATTTTACAACAAACCATTGCCCCAAATGGGCACCTGCAAACTTGACTGTGCTCAGAATTACATGTGCATTACTATAGGCTAAAGATCCCATTAAGACACAGATTAAAGGCTAATTTTACAGCAATGTCTTGCTGTCCAAAAACGTCAGTGCAGCTGTAAATCTGGGATCTCTAGGGTGTTCAGTCTTCCTATAAGGGAACTTAATCGAGCAGCTGCTGTACTACAAAAAACTTTGCTTAAGAGTTTAATCAGCTTTCCAACTTTGGAACATTCATGAAGCCCTGTGAGGCAAGGTACTGAACCTCCACAAGCACCGCCAGCCGCGGCTGCCAGAACGGTGCTGGGTTTCCACGAACCACATCTCGCTCCAGCACCCGCTGTGCAGACCCACCATCAGGGGCTCTAGCACTGGCTGCTTCTCCAAGGAAATCAGTTTCCCCCGTGATGTAATACCCTTCACACATAGTGCAAAATAAACCCTCCTCTGTCTCAGAGAGGCCTTAGCTTTCCATCCCATTTACTCCAACACGGCTTTCCTTGCGCAGTTTTAGCCTTTTGCCTCAGGAGACTCATGCAAAACCTTCAGACAAGAGCTGTGCATCCACCTTGATGAGTGGATTCCAGACCCTTGGCCAAACTGAATATGCACGCGAGCTCTGGTTATATTCCTAAGGGTTAAGAATAGAACTTCCATTAACATTCTCCAATACAGCTGCCAATCTCATTACATTTAGATTAGTTTGATCGATTCAGCACCTCCAAACTACAAAAAAAAAAAGGCAGTTTGTATGACCAGTGTCTCTGGAAAACGAGCGTATTCATTTCTAACGATGTGTCTTCCATACTTGGTTTGTTAGAGATTTCTTTTTTCTAAGAAGGCAGAAGGTGGTTGTGTTATTCAGCATTCCAAACTAGGTACAGAACCTGCAACGGCCACGTTTCAGTAGTGTTTCTAGTCCAAATGATTCAGTAGCTAACATCAACGTTTGACTCCTCTGGCCTATAGCTCCTCTGTTTGGACTGGCTAGTTTACAGCATTCCTGAGCCAAGTAATTAGCATGGGTCCTACGCCACATGCAAGGGCCATAAAGAAAGGATAAAAACTTTGATCTAACCCTCCGGCAAACGCGAACAGAACATGGGCTGCTCTCCTTCACTGCAACATGATATCCTTCAGGTTCTCCTGAAGGATGGTGTCCTTCACGGCGTGAAACACGAAGCGGATGTTTTCAGTGTCTATGGCAGTGGTGAAGTGGTGGAAGAGAGGCTTGCTGCGGTTCCTCCTCTTCCTGTCAAAGCACTGCACCAGATACCGCTGAACGTCTTCTAGCCTGTGAGGGTCGCCTCTGAAGTCCGAGAAATACTTCTTAATGCTGACAGTCTTTACCTTCTCTACTAGAAGATCCATCTTGTTGAGGAATAGGATAATAGAAACATTAAAGAAAAGCTTGTTATTGACTATTGTCTCAAAGATATTCATGGACTCCACGAGTCTGTTTGTGCGCCTGTCTTCCATGAGAACCTGATCGTATTCGCTGGAGGAGACCATGAACAGAATGGAAGTTATTCCATCAAAGCACTGGAACCACTTCTGACGCTGAGATCGTTGTCCACCTACATCCACCATCTTGAAAGGTATTTTTTTAATGATGAAATCATGCTCTACTATCCCCTTGGTGGCTTTTCTAGCCAGCAAAATATCTTGTTTGCTGGGGAAATAATTCTGTGAAAGAAAGGAGAAACGTGTCAGAAGCCCTTCAAAAATGCTGGATAATAGCAGAATATTGAAGCAGTGAGAAAAAACAGTGATTTTTTAAAAGTTATCAAGTGAAGAATGAATACTCAAAAATAACACTGTTGAACATCTATCTCAACACATTGTTAAACAGGTACAGAAGGTCCTGAGACTTACTAGAGGAATATAGGTCTAATGCACTCACTCATTCACATTTTTATCACTCAAGCCTCTCATTTTCAGGCTGAAGTCTATTTTTTCATTATGAAGTTCTTAGCTATAGTGATATTACCATTTCTGTGGTGTTCAGGAAAGCACATCACCAAGTCACCACTGAAAGGATTTTTTTTAAATCTAGTTTTTCACAGTTCATTACTCTTACAACAGACATTTTACAAGCTTTAGTGGAAATACTGCTTCCAGGTTCATACTTCATGATCAGTGAGTACAGTGACATGCTCTACTGCAAGTTGTGGCCCATCCCACCACTATAGAGAGAATTGTTCTTCAGAGTCTTATCAATAGTGATTTCCCTTAGATGATTTTCTTATTTAGGACAGTAATCTCCCTTCTTTTTCCTCCCAACATCCTGACATGTTTTCATTACACATTTTGAATACAACAGTGCTAGTAATTTTTGTTATTTGGTAAGGTTTCATTCTGCTACCTTCAGTAGCACCAGCCATCATATCATAAGAAGCAAATGAGAAACAGAAGCCACATAAAAGGACAGATAAAAGAAAACAGGTGCATAAACACAACTTCTATAAACAATATTGGTTGTCTGTCAAAAAAAGATTAGGCAAAGAGCTTCAGTTTCATAAGGCTGGAGTTTACTATTTCTAATGAAAGAACACTGAAAGTCTTTTGCATCATTATCTAAAAAGAACCCCAAATCACAAAAAAAACCACAACCAAAAAGCATTAATCCTAGCACACCCAGACCTCCACTGTCTCCTTTGAGCTCCCTTGGGTCAGAAACAGGAGTTTTATGCCTTACCAGCTGACCGATCCGATCCAGGTTATCCAGGAAGTATTTCACCGATTCGCCCTGTGGAGAAGGAAGGAGATGGGAACTCAGCTTGTTTGCAGGGGAGCAAGCCCAGCTGAACCACAGCCTTTCCACTTCCCAAAACGTGCTGAAGTCTAACAGCAATATCACAAGTGCAAGTGTGGACAACATCCCGATATGCTTCGGTAGCTGGAAAAACAGAAGTCCTACAAAGCTGAATTCCCAGAACCTGCTGCTAATGAAATGGAGCTGCCATAACATCCTACATGTGTGTGGGTAAGGCAGTATTTCTACATCAACTTATCTAACAGGTTGAGAAAAATAAAAATCAAAGTTGAGTAGAGATCTGAATAAACACTCAAATCTATCTAGTAAATCTTTTCACAAACAGGAAGTGTTATTGAAGTCAGTCCTTTGGCTTAAAGAATTAGGTTTGTTCTCTCTTGTAGGATGAATGCAGTCAGGTGAGAGTAAAATTGGAAGACTTTTATAAGAAACTATTGTATTTTGTTTAAAATTAGTAACAGTGAACAAAAGCATATCCTAGACTGGTTGGTCCATCTTTAAAAAAGATTTAAGTCACCTACAAATCATGATAATTTAAGCTAGACTTCCTTGTGTGAAAATGCCTAAGAGGTTTTGTGGTTTGTTGTTGTTTTTTTTTTTTTTTTTTTTTTTTTTAACAATCTTGCCCATGTATCACACTCAAATCAAGTGCCACTTCACATTAGTGGATACAAGAAGCCCTGTATATACTTTTTAGAAGTAATAAAGTTGTTTCCACATAGATGCAGACTTCACTTCTGGAGTGAAGCTATCTTTGGCAGAGGCCCATTCTCCTTGAAACACTTCCCTTTCACCACTTCAGATGATGATGATGATCTGTTCAGTAAAAACGTACTCTCCATTGTTTAGGGCATGTGTCTTGCAGTTGTAGCCATGTCATAAGAATGATAAAAATGGAAAAACCTCCTGCCTTTCAATAATTTTAGGCAGCAAAACACATTATATATCACAGATCGGGGCTATATCTGTGATGGCCAAACTGACAGTAGGTGCCCTCACCAAGTCACTAGTTCAGAATGAGAACATTCTCAAAACACCATCCCAGATTCCAAGAGCAAAATAAATTCTTAAACCATACATTTTTCTCTACACCACAGGCCTGAGACAGCAGAAGAGATACCCCCTGAGAATGTACAGTGCAGTTGGACTGGAGGGGAAAGCAGACGCCAAGACAACAGTTCATTTTGAGGACTCAGACAGGAGATCAGAGGATTCGGTGTACTGAACAAGGACATATTTTCAGCATAAGGTATGGACAGACAGAAGCTGTAGCTTATTATTTCCTAACATTCAAGACTCGCAGTATCTTTTCATAAGGAGAGAAAACAGACATTTGGAAAAAAAAAAAATCCCACGTATCACAAAAGATTTACAGTGGATTGCTAGCAGAAAAAAAACCTTACTTTTTTTTTTGGGGTGGGGGGGAGGTTTCCAAAGAACAATTGCTCTAAGAGCTTCCTTACAATCATGAATTTTCATAAGGTGAAAGTAATTTCCTGTATTTTCTGGCACTCTGTTGGATCAGAAGAGATACCACAGACTGCATGAATAAGAGAAAAGGTCTTCCTGTACAGCATTAGTCATATTTAGGAGACAAGAGAACACAAAAAGAAAAAGGTCACTGAAGCTACAAAACCCCCCCTTCTCTATCTGTTGTGCTTTGTCCCACACAATGCCTTTAGATGCACAAGGCGGCTGCGCCCGGGCTGCCTCTGAAAAGAGCAGTTCCTATTTTCTGCCCCGTTGCTCCACGAGCCCTTGCCGTGTCTGTGTCCCTCCCAGGCCCAGCAGGAAACAGCTGCAGGCCTGGAACCTGCTGGGACACACACACACCCCACTCCACCTGACTTACAGCTTCTGCCTGCCCTGCTTCCTGCCCCATGCACCCAGCACGCTCATGTTGGGCACACTGAGAAGAAGGTAAGAAAATCTGATTCAGGAAAAAGTTCAATTCTGCAGTGATTCAGGGTAACTAGACTCTTCTAGTTTCTTACACAGCTTTTCCTAACACTGCAATTAAGCCAAATAGTTCATCCTGGGAAGTTCTAAGCAGTAACTGCAAAACTCTTGGGTAGCTGGGTAACCCAGTCAGGTTGCTGGAGCAGGTGTGTCCACCATATGCCTGGGTCAGCAGATCTGAAGATGCCTGAATATTATCTTCCAGCACAGAATTCAAAGGCATCCAGGACTTAAGTCAAAGTATCTGTTTCCAGTCAAAACAACAAATCCCTGACAAGCTCCAGAGGGCTTGAAGAAAAGCTCAAAACATTCAAGTACAGAGGCCTGAAGGGAGAACCAGCCCCCATCCAAACCCCCCATCAAACCCAAAAACTCACACCTGCACCACATACTTAAAACCTCCTGTTTTAAAGCAGATTCCCCCATTAAGTCCCGTGTTCTGGGCTGTGGAAGCACGGATTCAGTTCCTGCTCCAAAGACCTCTCAAGTAACCTTGCCCTACAACTTCATCCAATTCACAGCAAACTTGGCTGCTTCTGGGAAGTGCATGGGGTATTTGGTATTTCAGCTCCTCACACAGGCAGCACAGAACAGCAGCAGGCAGCCCCAGCTGACTTGATGAATAACTTGGGATGTATTTCAATGTGGCAAACACGGGAACTCCAGGTGTTAGGGCTGGTTTGTATTAGTATTCTTCATCAGAACCATGGTATTAACTGAACATTCCTTTACTTTTTTCCCCTTGTAATCCAGGGACAATAGATAGCAACATTAATTAGATTTAGAGGTCAAATGTATTTAGTCTTATATCAAGCTGCATTTGAAAGCAATTTTGAATTCCATCAATAAATTATTCTTTATACAAAGGTATCTCATGCTTTGGGTATTACATACACACAAGTGTAAATGGAGGTATGCATCAAAAAATACATACACACAAAGCTTATGAATTGTTCATCTATTTTTCCACTCAAGGCAAATTATTATCAAAATCAAGTATCAGCTGCCCCTCTCATGCTGAACAACCTCGTTCTCCTGAAGACACTAACCATAAACAAGCTGGTTTAGCTTTTTCAGTGCCAATTCTCTCTCTTTCTCCAAAATCATCTAGCCATTCAACTACATCCAGAAGCTGGCTTGGCACTTTCAACGCTCTCCTTTTCCAGATCTTAGCCAGTTATATCTGCTTCAGTAACATGACTTGCTATAGAAATGGCAGCAGACACTTGCAATTAATTCATCAGATACTAAAAACATCTTTATGCAGATTTATGGCTTCACACTATTTTAATGGTTATAGTGGAAAAAAATTGTCGTTTTAAGAACGCTGCAGTCTATTTTGAACTATGCTTGCAAGCAGCAAAATAGAAGTGAAAGCTATCAAAGTTATTTATATTATATTTCAATACCTACAGTACCTACAGATAATCGCCTCATGGTGTGTTCACTTAAAAATAGAGCAAAACAACCCACAAAACAAAAAATGTCCAGGTCAGATGTGTCAAGACAAACTGCAGCAGCTATAGAAACTTCCATGAACACAGCTGATCTGAGGAAGATTGTTGAGCTTCTGTCTTTTCACATTTAAAAAGCCTTAAGACCCCTTGTATCTCCTTTTAAAAATATTCTAACAGTATTCATAAATGACATTCTTAAAATCTGAAAGACATTATTTCATTTGAACTGGCACGGTACTTGGATACAAAGCACCATTCTGTTCCTGTCACAGCAAAGGGTGTCAGTGAAGCATGTCTGTACAGACAATTCTTTTTCTTTTAACTAATAGTCTATTAGTCTATCTCACTTTTGAAAGTTGTATCAACACAGCCCAAGATGACCACCATCTATTTTGCTGTTGATACAAACCAGCTAGCTTTCCCCCCCAGTTCTCCTTGCTAACAAATCAAGGTGTGAAAAGGCTGCCTTCCACCCATGTTTTCCAGGACAGTGGTGGGGGAGGTAAGAGTGACCTCAGTTATGAAATTCACCTAATTCAGATACTCCTTTTCAGTACACCAGAGCACAGCACAGACAATAAGTCTTCCTTAACTTCTTGCTCTCCACACTAGGGTGACCACAAAAGCTTGGATGATTCACTCTCCCACTGCTAATCTTTTCTCCCTCTGCAATCGATATCCTCTGAGTAACAGTTTTGCCAACTGGGACCAAGTGAAGGACTAAGAGATGCTGTTCCCATTGTTCAGTGGGATGAGTCACTGCACATCTGGGAACTGAGGGAATCGAGAAACACAAACAGAAGACCTAAAATGAGCCCACAAGTTCCACAAGGCAGCATCACTATTGGATTTATTGGTTTTTTAACTGCCTTATCTGCAGTATAAAGTTTGGTGAAGCCAGAGAAAATAGTACAATTTGCTTAAAAACTGACTGCTGGAGGAGAAAGGGAGGAAAGGTAAAATGTAAACATATACTCTTCCTTCCTGAAATAGTGCTCTAAAACTCTTCTTTTATATGCTAGATTATTTTGAACACAGCATTCTCAAGGGGCAAAACCCACAAAATTAAGCAGTTTTTATTCTATATATTCTGTACCATATAAACGTCACCGTAACATTAGCTGCAAACAAATCACCATGAAAATAACAGAACTTCACATCTCTGTACCTCCAAGCTGGGTTCATAGTCAATAAGAAATCTCCCTACAGAAATATTGTAACTGATCTGGCATCACTTCCTTTGCCATCAATAGACTCATTGCCAAAAACAAGCACAAAATACTTGGGCAGAGTTTCCAAGCAGTATTCATTTCATGAAAACAAACACATAGGAGATCATATGCAGATTGCTTTAAAATACCCATAGGAACTCAGCAATACAAAATGTTCTGCAAGGCTAAAATTTTATCAGCTTGTCACTTTAACCCTCAGCCACTTAACCCTCACTATTCAGTGAGAGTTGGTCAGATCATAAACGATGGTGAAGCATCCTACTGCCCAGCTCCCCAAAATACAGGCTCAAACTTTTCCTTCTGAAAAGCACTTCCTTTATATTTT